AAAAAGAATTATAAGAATCATGAACAATTATATGCCAACAATTGGGCAACCTGGATGAAATGGATAAGTTCCTAGAAACATAAAATCTTCCAAAAATTCTATCAAGAAGAATTAGAGAATCTGAATAGACAGAGTACACCTAGTGAAAATGAAGCAGTAGCCAAAAAACTCCCAACAAACAAAAGCCTTACACTGGATGGATCCACAGATTAATTAACCAAATATTCAAAAAAAGAACTAACACCTCTCCTCCCCAAACCATTCCACAAAATTCAAGAGAAGGGAAGACTCCCAAGCTCATTTTATGAGTCCAGGATTATCTTAATTTCAAAACCAGATAAAAACACTACAAAAAAACGGAAATTATAGACCGATATCCCTGATGAACATAGACTATAAAATCCTTAACAAAATATTAGCAAACTAAATGCAGTGGTGCATGAAAAAGATCATATACCATGATCAAGTTGGATTTATCCCTGGGATGCATTCCTGGGATGCAAGGTTGGTACAATATTCCAAAATCAATAAATGTGAGACACCACGTAAACAAAATGAAGGATAAAACCTACATGATCTTATCAATAGATGTGGAAAAAGCATTTGATAAAATCCAGCATCCATTTATGATAAAAACTCTCAGCAAAGTAGGAATAAACGTAATAAAGGCCATATATGACAAACCCACTGCCAGCATCATACTCAACAGGGAAAAACTACAAGCATGTCCCTTAAGATGGGGAACAACATAGTGATGTCCACCTTCACCACTCATTCAACATAGTACTGGAGGTCCTAGACACAGCAATTGGGCAAAATGAAGAAATAAAAGGCATCCAAATTGGAAAAGGAGAACTAAAAATGTTATTATTTGTAGATGACATGATACAGTACATAAAGAATCCTAAAGATTCCACCAAGAAACTACTAGAACCGATAAATGAATTCAGTAAAGTGCAAGATATAAATTAAAAACCAGAAAATAGTTGCATTTTTACATGCACATAATAAGTTATCAGAAAGGAAAATTACAAAAACAATTCCATTCACAATTGCTTCAAAAAAATCAAATACCTAGAAATAAACCTACCTAAGAATGTAAAAGACTTGTACTTGAACAATTATAAGACACTGAAGAAAGAAACTGAAGATTCAGTAAGTGACAGTACCTATCATGTTCATGAATAGGAAGATTTAAAATCATTAAAATGTCCATACTAGCTGAAGAAATCTATAGATTCAATGCAATTCCTAATGAGGTACCAATGCCATATTTCACAGAAGTACAACAAATATTTCAAAAATTTATTTGGAACCAAAAAAGACCCTGAATAGCAACAGTGATCTTGAGAAAGAAGAACAAACTTGGAGGAATCATACTACCAAATATCAAATTATACTATAGGGCTATATAATCAAAACAGCATGGGGCTGGCATAAAAACAGACACATAGATCAATGGAACAGTATAGAAAGCCCAAACAGACACTTCTCCAAGGAGAGATATAGAGGGCCCAGAGACATATGAAAGGATGCTCAGCATCACTAGCCATTAGAGAAATGCAAATTAAAACCACAATGAGATACCACTTCACACTGGTCAGAATGGCCATCATAAACAGATCAATAAACAGCAGGTGCTGGCAAGGCTGTGGAGAAAAGGGAACCCTAGTACACTGTTGGTGGGAATGCAGACTGGTGCAGCCACTGTGGAAAACAGTTTGGAATTTCCTCAAAAAGCTAAAAATGGAACCGCCTTTTGACCCAGATTCCCCTGCTGAGATTATACCCTAAGAATCCCAAAACAAAAATCCCAATTCAAAAGAACCTATGCACCCCAATGTTCATAGCAGCACAACTTACAACAGTGAAGTGTTGGAAGCAACCTAAATACCCACCAGTAGATGATTGGATCAAAAAACTATGGTACATTTACACAATGGAATACTATGCAGCATAAAGAAAGAAAGAGCTACTACTCTTCGGGACAGCATGGATGGAACTAGGGGGCATTATGCTAAGTGGAAAAAGCCAGGGGGCAAAAGACAAATACCATATGATCTCACCTATAAGTGGAACCTAACTAACAAAATAAACAAGCAAGGAAAATATAACCAGCAACATTGAAAGAAAAAAGAAACCAATAGAGTCAAGAGGGAAGGGAAGGGTCAAGTCAAGGAACATGTATAAAGGACCCATGGACAAAGCCAAAGTGGGGAAGGATTGAGAGAGGGAGGTGGGGGAGGTGGGGGAGGAGGGCAGGAGAAAGTGGTGGCGTGAAGGTGGAGACAAATGCATTTGAACAAAAAATAAAAATTAAAAAAATAATAAATGAAAATTATTTTTTAGAAAAAGAAAGCTCAGAAATGAACCCACGCCTTTAGGGTCGATTACTACTTGACAGAGGAAGAAAGCACGTACAATGGGATAACGACAGTTTACTCATTAAATGGTGCTGGGAAAATTGGACAAATACCTGCAAAAAAATGAAATAAGGCCATGCTCTTAAACCACACACAAAAATAAATTCAAAATGGATTCAAGACTTAAATGTTAGGCTTGAAACCATAAAAATTCTAGAAGAAAACATAGGCAGTAAAATCTCAGACACTGCTGATAGCAATATTTTTCCTGATATATCTCCTCAGACAGGGGGAAAAAAAGAAAAAATAAACAAATGGGACTACATCAAACTAAAAAGTTTTTGCCAGCAAGGGAAACCATCAACAAAATAAAAAGACAAACTGCTGAATGGAAGAACATCTTCACCCAAACATCTGAAGAGAGGTTAATATCGAAACTGTATACAGAACTTAAATGTGCAAAGGCCTAAACACACTTCTCCAAAGAGGACATACAGTTGGCTAATAGACACATGAAAAGATGTTCAATGGCACTAATTATCAGAGAAATGTAAATTCAAACCACAATGAGATATCACTTCAAATGAGTCTGAATGGTTATCATCAATAAATCAACAAAAAAACAAGTGCTGGTAAGGATGTGAAGAAAGGGGAATCCTTGTGCACCATTGGTGGGAATGCAGATTGGTACAGCCACTGTGGAGAGCGGTATAGAGTTACCTCAAAAATTAAAAATGGAAGTGCTTTGTGATCCAGCAATTTCACTTCTGGGAATTTATCTGAAGACCCCAAAATACTAATTCATTGCAGCATTATTTACAGTCACCAAGATCTGGAAGCTCCTGAAGTATCCATCAGTAGATGAGTGGATAACACAGCTATGGGATATTTACAAAATGGAATACTACTTGGTTGTAAAAAAGAAGAAAATTTTACCCTTTCCAACTGCATGGATAGACAGAGAGAACACTGTGCTAAGTGAAATAAGCCAGACAGAGAAAGACAAATACCATATGATTTCACTCACACGTGGAATCTAATGAACAAACTGAACTAACTCGTAAAATAGAGACAGGCTCATTCATAGAGAACTCTGTTGATGTGGTGTTGGGGGATAGAAGGATCACTCAAAACCTAAAAAAGACTCATGGACATGGACTACAGTGTGATGATTGTGGGGGGCATGGGTGTGGGGAATTGGAGGAGGGTCTAAGTGGGATAAATGGTAATGGAAACAAAAAACACAATTTTTTAAAATAATAAAAATTTAAAAAATATCAAATATCCCATTAAAAGACAGAGAATAAATGCAAAGTAAAATAAAATGGTTCAATTACATTCTGTTTATAAGAGATATTCCTAAAACTAAGAACACAGAAAGGTTAAAAATATTTTCAAAAATGTGGTGATAAACATTTTGTCAGGGGACACTGCCTGTTTTGGCCATAACTTGCCTGGAAAAGACTAGGTTCTCAATACACATTGCTGAATGAATGACTGAATTAATTAATGTTAATATCAAACAAGATAGATATAGAGGCAAAAAAATTCTTAGGCAGGAAGATGATCATTATCTAATGATAAAAAGAATACTTTATCAGAAAGAAATAATAGTCCTTAAATTGTAGACATCTGCAATATATGCAAAAATTATCAGCATTTTAGAAGTAACTGAAAAATTCATAACCAGATGCAGAAACCAACAGGCCTAAAGGACAAAACTTTGGTAAGAATATAGAATATCTGAACAGCATGTTAATAGCACTAACTAATGGACATAAAAAAATTTCTTCACTCAAAAATTAGAGAATACACCTTTTCAAGTAAAATGGAATATTTACAAAATATGATCACTTACAAGGCCATTAAGGAAGTCTCAGGAAATACTATGTACAAAACAAATTCTCTGATCACAGTGCAGTGAAATCAGAAATCAATCATTTTGAAAACTTAAATATATACTTTTAAATAATTCATGGCTCTAAAAAATTATAATTGAATAAAAATATTTATAATATGGTGAAAATGAAACATTACATAAATTTGTAAACTATGACAGATGGTTTTTAGGGGAAATTTATAAATTTAAATGCATGTATTATAGCTCAGTTGGTTAGAGCATCATCCCAATATGCCAAGGTTGCAGGTTCAATCCCCAGTCAGGACACATACAAGAATCAACCAATGAATGAATAAATAAGCAGAACAACAAATCGATGTTTCTCTCTCATCAATAAACTAAAAATGCATATTTTATAGAAAAAAGAATAAAATATTAGTAAGCTAGGTTTTTGTACTCAGGACATTATTTTCAGAAAGAGCAAAGGACTTAATCCAACACAAGTAGAAAGAATAATAAAAATAAGAGTTAAATTAACTAAGTAGTTAACAAAAGACAAGGAAGAGCATCAAAATAAAAAACTAATACTTTGGAAAGACCAAATTGACAAATCTCTGGTAAGATCAACAAAAAGCAAGCACAAATAAATGTTATTAAGAAATAAAAAAGAAACTAAAACTACAGATGCAGTAGAGATTTTTTTGAAATAAGAGAGCTCTGACCAGTGTGGCTCAGTTTGTTGGGCATCAGCCCACAGAGCAAAAGGTTGCCGATTCGATTCTGGTCAGAGTACATACCTGGGTTGTAGGTTCAGTCCCTTTTTGGGGTGTGTACAAGAGGCAACTATTGATATTTTTCTCCATCTCTTTCTCCCCTCCCTTCTCTTCTCTCTAAAAATAAGTGAAATGTTGTTTTTTTTTTAAATAAGAGAATACTAGAAACAATTTTATGGCAATTTGAAGACAGATGCTGTGGATAATGTCCTAAATAAATATAAGCAACCAAAAGTGATTTAATAAGAACTACAAAACACAAATTGTATAATCACTAACAAGTTTTAACAAGCCTTTAAATGTCAGATAATTCATAACTCAAACAAATTGTCCCAGAAAAGAGAATAAGAGGGAAAGTTCCTCAAATGATTCTTCCCAATTTATTTTGAAGAGATTATAAAAACAAAGGAGAAAAAATACAATAAAAGTAAATTAAATGTTGGTCTCATTTATAAACATGCAAAATTCCTGAATTGTAGCAAACCAAATCCAGAAAAGGGGAAAAAATTATGTTTTATACTAGTAATGCAAGGATAATTTAACATTAGAAAATATATTAATATAGTTCACTTAATTAACAGATTAGAGAAGAAAAGTTTTTTAAATATCTCAAAAGATATAGGAAAAACCTTTGGTAAAGTTTAATAATCTAAAAAAATTTATGCATGAAAAGACTATGGCAACAGAGGAAAAGGCAACAGACCGAATGGGAGAAAATATTTGCAACTCATATTTATGATTAGGGATTAATAACCAGAATATATAGAGAATGCCTAAAACTCAACGACAAAAAACAAACAGCACAATTCAAAACTGAGCCAAGGAGCTGAGTAGACATTTTTCCAAAGAAGATATTCAAATGGGCAATAAGCACATGAAAAGATGCTCCACATCATTGATCATTAAGAAAATGCAAATCAAAACTATAATGAACCACCACCTTATACTACTATCAAAAAGTATGAAAATAACAAGCACTGGTGACAATGTGGAAAAAATGGAACACTTGTGCTGGTAGAAATGTAAAATGGTAGAGTCAAAATAGAAAATAGTATGATAGTTCCTCAAAAAATTAAAAGCAGAATTACCATATTATGCAGCAATACCACTTCTAGGTGCACTGAAAAGCAGTGAAAGCAGGGTCTTCATGAGAAGTTTGTGTATGCATGTGTAAGCAGAATTATTCACAACAGCTAAAATGTGGAAGCAACTCAAGTGTTCATCACAGATAAATGGATAAGCAAAATGTAGTATATACACACAATGCAATATTATTCAAGTTCAAAAAGGAGTAAAATTCTGACACACACAACAACATGGATGAACATTGAGAACATTAGGCTAAGTGAAGTAAGCCAGTCACAAAACGATAAATTCTTTATGGTTCCACTCATATAAGGTACTAGGAGTATGCAAAATCATGGAGACAGAAAGTGGAATAGAGGGCTGAGGGGAAGGTGGAATTGAAATGGAGTGCAGAGCAAGAGGTCCCTGAAACAAAGATGTTCCCCTACAGCTCATGGCTGGGAGAAGGCGGGAAGTGGATGACAGGCTTAAGATACTCTGCATATCTATGGCAACTTGTTAACAGCTGTGCTACCACCCCAGAGGAAAAAGTGTATGTGACTTTCAGAATGTATCCTGATTCATGACATAGGCAGGGAGGCAGTTCCCCGTGTCACTGAGTCACACTCGCCCTGACTAGAGATGGCAGCCAAGAGAAGGTAGCAGATACAGGAAACTGGCAAATGTAGCTCATTGTGGAAGGAGCTGCGTAGGAGGTCATGTAGGAAGCTTAGGGTCAGGATTTTAAAAAAGGGTGGGTAATCATGGGTAGAGAAAACCATGATGTAACAGGAAGTTTGCAGGAAAGCTGGTCCCTACAAAATTCCGCATGGGTAGAGCCCTGTGGATAGTGAGGAAAGGGAAGGAGGAAGAGTAGCCACGAGGAAGGAGCTATGAGCCTGGAGAAAATTTCAGCCATGCGGGTGGCAGTGAAGTGGCAGCTAAGTAGTTTGTCCTCAGGGTTCTGCCATATGGCCCAGTATAGTAAGAGAGAAGGCATACTGTTGCTCTGATCGTGCCCACTCCAGCTGACTCCGAAGGCACCAACGACTCTGCCTTGCCAAGACACTGACTTGCTGCCTTGCAGACCTAGACTCCATCTGGACTCTTGGGACTTGGGACATATGGAGAGGCCACTCTCTCAGGACTTGTGCCTTCCCTGACTCCACCATGATCCAGTGCAACACAGCACATGCTTTCAGGACTACTACATGGAGATGGAGGAAAACATACCCCAGATTCTAAGGGAGAGAGCTGCTGCAATAGGATGGTGACTTTGAAGCCCACGAGTGTATTTTCTAGAGGGACTGGAGAACTGTTTGTGCAGCCAGCTTAACATAAGGACTTGGGGAACTATTGGGCTTGTTTTTGCTTTGTAGCCTTATGAGGAGCAAGAGAAGTGCTGGGTCTTGTGGGGAAACAGAGCTCTAAGCAGGAGTGCTCTCAGCCCCCACCTTGAGGTTGGAATCTTGTAAATAAAAACCTGTTTCTTCCAACACTAACTTTTGGGTCATGCATCAAGGCACCACATGCATGGGTCCATTTGTTCAGTTACAGAATGGGGAGTTAGTTCATAAAGTTGGCAGAATATTAGATCAAAATACTAAAATCAAAAGCAGAAACATGGCTAATCAATAAGTGTAAAACCCACTTCCTTCACTTCCTTTCAAAAACCCACATTAAAGGGGGGAGGAGTATAAATCCATAGGAACAGATATAATAGAGTAAGAAAATCCCTCATAACAGATGTCAACAAATTTGGAAAATGGAAAGTGATCAACAGGGCAAAAGCTAACTACTAACTGCCAGTAGTACTGAGGACAAAGAGGTGTGACAGGCCAAAACGAATCAAGCTTCTTTCTACACCAGAATTCTGGGACTGCTTAGGAACTGAGGGTCCTGGTACCTCTGAAGGTAGGGTCATGGGTTTAACAAAAGGATTGTTTGAAAGTCTGTATAAAGAACACTTAGGCCATCCCCCTACTAACTTCTCCATTCCAATAGGGCAAAGGAAGTAACAGAAGAAACTAAATCAAAACAGCTTCCAATTTATGGATGCAAAACAATGGGGAGGAGTTAGTTGAAGAGGTGAAATTAGGACTAAGTGAAAGTCTGCATTTGGAATGCTGAGGATTCCCAGGGTCCTTTCCTCCTTGGCTTCCAGAATGCTGGCAGCCAGGTTTTATCCCCAGAGCAGACAGTTGAGGGATTCCTCTCTGACTAACCATGAAAGGCCCAAGAGAACAACAGCCAACACTCATGCTGATACCTGGCAACATCAGATTGCCATCTGATTAACCCTACAGTGAGGTCCATCAATTAGCACACATAAAGGACTCTCTATCAGTCTCCAAGTTCCTCATTCTCAAATATAGACTGATAGCTACAAATACAACATTTGATGAAAAGTATTAATATGAAAGATAGACCAAAACAACTAGACAGAACACTAAAGAGAAACAGGCAATGCAGAGAGCAGAAGAAAACTAACAAACACTTACTATTAATAGTCTAAGACAAATAAGATAATATATCTAAAAAGCAAGACTATCACTTACAAAAATATTAAAGAATGTGGGAAAGCTGTCAGAAATAAAAATATGAAAGCAAAATATTTTTTCCTTTGAAAGTAGTGGAAGATAAAGTTAAAAACTTCCAAAAAGTTAAATTAAAAAATGGAAAATAGAAAAATAAAAAAATGAAAGAATAAAATGGGTCCAACATTAAAGCAATGAGGGTTGGAGAAAAAGGAACTAGGGAAAAATGGAAAAAATAAATTTACCAAAGAAATACAAGAAAAGTTCCCAGAACTGAAAGACAAATTTCTAGGCTGAAAAACCAACTGAAAACCTACATAATTATTTTAACATGACCCCACCAAAGTATATCATTGCAAAATTTGAGAAGCCAGGGACAAAGAGATCTTATAATATTCAAGAGGGGAGAAAAAAATTCATATACTGGGTTGGCCAAAATGTTTGTTTTCTTTCTATAAGATGGCTCTAGTGGCACTTAGCTGTCTAACTTCATTTGAAATAATTTTGTTAGACTGTACTGTGACAGCTGTCATATCAGCATACATTAAAAAAATTTAACAAAATTTGTGTAGCCATTTTAATATTGAATATGGAAGAAAATATGCAAAATTTTTGGCATATTATGCCTTATTATTTCCAGCAAGGTAAAGGTACAACGAAAATGCAAAAAAAAAAAAAAAAAGGATTTATACAATGTATGGAGAAGGTACTGTTACTGATCAAACATGTCAAAAGTACTTTGCAAAGTGTCATGTTGGCAATTTCTTGCTGAATGATGCTCAACAGTCAGGTAGACCAACTGAAGTTGATAGAGATCAAATTGAGACATTAATTGAGAACAATCAGAATTATACCACGCAGGAGACAGCCAACATACTCAAAATATCTAAATAATAAAGTTATTGGTGAAAAATTACGGGAAAATTAAACAGACTTTTTGGCCAACCCAATAAAAAGGGATCAAGAAGATAAGGAATCAATGCTTTTAAACAGTCTGTGAGGAAATGTTTTCCAAAGACAAAGTTCTCCATGAAATCTAAAGACCATTGAAGACATTTTCAGATATAAAGTCACAAAATATTTATTTTCCTTTCAAGTACCTTTTTCACATAATTACTAGAGGGCATATATGTATATATGCAACCCAAAATGATAAAATAAGCCACTAAAGAAGACATGGTTTGGAGATATGGTGACAAAAATCAGAATTATAGGTAAGAGAATTTTTTTAAAATTTTTAAGAATTTTAAAAAACATTTTTTAAAGTGGAAAAGATAGGTTGCTTAATTAATATGGATGACTTTATCAGAGGGCTGATAAAAATTAATCTTAACCTAAATAGAAAATTAAGTCAATTAAAAATGGAATCAGTGACAAACTCTAGGGGAACAAAAGCTGTATGAGAAAGGAAGACGCTGTACAAGAAATAAATCAATGATAGTGTCTATGTGGCTCAGCTGTGGACAGTATTTTTATAAACATAGGAAGTGCAAAATGTGCTTATATAGGGGTACG